TGAGCAGGTCGTGGTGGGAACGTACAATGCCGCAAGACTCATGCTTGTCTCGGGCACATTTGGTCGTATCGCTCGCACTCATTTGGATCTTTTTCATTTTGCTTCCTTTTATTGCATATACAATGATTCAATTTTCAGGAAGGGAGAAGCGGCCAATCAAAGGGTTGCCATTCAACACACACGGGGGAAGTCAGGCGGCGGTGGTGGTGAGATTCGAACACATCCTCGGGGTGATAATTTGGTGACGCTACCAACGAGCCACCACCGCCCGTTAGTGTCACCTGCGATTGTATCTATTTATCTCAATCTACCCTCGGTCAGAAGTGCATCGGAAGGGTAGAATATGCGGATATGTCACGGAATAGCTTGGTCTTTAGGGAGAAAATCTACAGTTTCACGGTATTTGTTTGGCTCCGGTCACCGTATCGACATATCAAAAGCGTTTCGAGTCATTTAAGAAACTTTGAAGATCACGGATCTTAGGTATCTTGTAGACGATAATCATTCACCGCTTAGAACTACCATTATGAGTCGAAAAACACTTGTACCGCACTTGTAGTTGCCATTCTAGTGATGAGGTCACACTTGATGCCATCCTACCGTAGTATGACATGAATTTCCCTCCCTCTACCACATTTTTTTAACTGTTCACTTTCCCATTAAATTTTGTCATCTAACTTGATCATAACCCCTAATCAAATCCAAATCAAGCAGCTCACTTGTCCGTCACCTTCAAATAAATCATTTCAATTCCAATTTTTTTTAATTTGACAATGATTTAAATGTGCGTTTACAACTAAATTCTGTCCGCATAGGTCTTTTGTGTTGATGAAAAGGTTCTTTTTGATTAGTGGACAACCATGATTTATGGCCTCTTGTCGATCCAGGTCCGCTGTCTTCACATTCCGCGTTTGAGATGCCTTGGGTTCCGTCCGCCCTAAATTAGTGCTCATTATCCTCGATTTTCTCTCTGCTCACCTGTCTCGGACAGTATGGTGCATGATGGACTAACCACCCCAATCATGCGTTTACGCTATTTATAACAGTGCATAAGCAAACGCTGGCACAGGTACTCACAATCAGACACTCGACAATAGTTTGTTCCTTGAAGAAACGGTTGAAATAAAACCGGCAAGTGGCTCGATCAGATGATGCGCACATTCCGTGAGGCCGATTGAACATAGTTCTTCGGCACCAGAAGCTTTTGATGTTTTTAGACACATCAGATGTGCCCGCACATGATT